AAACTGAAACTAGAATTAATTTTTTTTTTTTTTTGTTTACTTTCACTCAGTTAATATAGAATATATAGTAAGGGTAGTAAATAAATTATTGTAATCATGAAAAATTTCGAATTTTAAGTTTTTAACAGACAAACACGTTTTAAGATATTGAGCACAATATAGTTTATTTGAAATAATTAAACGTCCCTCATGGTTAGAAACAGTATTCCAAATAAATTAATTTAATAGAAAAAATAAATTACATATTTTGTATTTTATTTCCAAGATACTAAAATATAAACTGTGTATTTTATTTTGTATTTTAAATACATAAAATAAATTACCAAATAGAGGAGTTTTCCTGTATTATAGACTAATCGTTCACCACCATTAAACATTTTGTACTAAATTTTAAAAACAAAATACTCTGTATTTTAAATACTTTTTGGCCAGGTCTAGTTCAAAGTAATATGAATTGGCTAAATATTAACTAAGAAATAAAAATTTGATAATTTAAGGAAATGTTTTAAGAGTTAAAAACAAAAGTCTGGATAGAAGAATAGTAATATGTATGTATAATATATCGTTGGAAACGTAAACATTTTAGAAAAAAAAAAGTATAATATACAAAGTCGTAGATAATAATGGAGAGTGACAAAAACGTATGATTAATAATACGTAATTATTAATATTAATCATCGGAACTAAATAGAAATTAAAAACTTATAAGAACTTTTTAAATTATTTTTGAGCTCTACATACCATAAATATATAATTATTCTTAAATTAGTTTAACACTTTTATGTCTTACTTAAATGAGAAAAATAATGGAACATGTGCTTGTTCCTGAAAATATTTCAAGCAATTATAAAGGGTTAGAAAAACATGTGGTCATAAACCTTTAAGAATTTAATCCTCAATGAAAGATTTAAATAATTAAATATTAGCTACACCTTATTTTAGCAGATATTAAATTATTTTAGTTGTGTGATGCGCACGTCGTAGAATATCTTTAATGTTTTAACTATTATTTAGTGTACTTTTGAATAACCAATCGCCCCAAAATAAATAATTGATTTGTGGAATTATTATATTTTTGAAATATAAATTGTAGATGAGTAGTTACTGTTTGGTCAGTATTTTTATTAATTAATTTTAAAAATCAAATTATTTATTTTTCTAAACCATGTGAACTAATACACATAAGCATTTAAGGAAAATTATCAACTATTAGTAGCAGATTTATAATCATACGAGATTTTAAGACATCGTTTTATAAATTAGTATATAAAAGCCCATGCTTGAAACCGCGTTTATATATTTTAAAAATATTTTTACGTTTGTGTTTGAGTCCAAAAAAAAAACAACAAAATAAAAACCAATATATCGTTTCGCTTTTGCTGCATGTTATTTGTTTATGAATCACACTGTCATTACAAAATATAAGTCATCCCTTCAATGGAACATCGCATTTTCAAATTCTAAAACCGTTATTTTCTTCTTTAAAACACTTAAATAAAAAGAAAATAATAAAATATTTAATTAAAAAGTAGAAATATTTAGTAAATAAATGCCTTACCTTCTTTAATGTAATATCCTTAATAACAGCTGTAAATGAAACCTCTCTGATTTTCAACAGGCCCAGTACGAAAAATATATTGTAGAACTTTTAAGCTCTCTAACAGAAAGTACTGACATTCTCAAAGTGTTGAAGGTTATGGCTGCCTTCGTTCCGTAATGTTCTCGATATTTTCTGTTTATGTTTAGTGTCGGCTTAGTATATCACTGGCGATATGTGGGATTAATCCTATCCAGCGGCCATCTTGTCTTGGTGGGGATAGTGTTGCCAACTAGCTGGAAGAATTCCATGTGTTGTGTGGTACACCTGAAAGCGGGCGGCCGTATATCCGCTTATCGGTGACTCATATATGGAAAGATAGTCTATTAATTAGAATCTTAGTGAGCATTATCTCTGTCATAATTTTCATCCTCATTTCGCTTTTATGTTGTGACCACAAATATAAACCACAAATTAACAAACTAAGGTTGTATATACATATAGATAATAAGCAATCAAAATAATAGTAACACTAGATTGAGTGGTTATTTAAAGCTCTAGTTCCTTTTCGCTGCTCTAAGATGGTGAGCGGTTTTAAAATCATCCAGAGCATTCCCGACCGATTATTGACTATCCTGTTTATATATGACGTGGCTATGGTTTCCACTTTGGCGAAAAAGTCCCCATTTCAGGGAAATTCCAATGTTAGAATGGGCAGGAGTGACCGTGTTTTGACTGAATCAGTTTTTTTAGGTTAGGTTATATTCTCGCATTTCTGATACGTAAATATCTTAAATAATAAGATACGCAATAAGGAAAATGTCTTGTGCTAAAAAATAAGTTAATAAAGCTAGTTTGGCGTCAACACAAAATGCTAAAATAGGTAATTTAAATTGAATTGGAATTTCCACTTCCCCGACTTGACGACACGTAGTAAATACGTCATTAAAAATTAAATTTAAATTCTCTCTCATCACTGATAAACACGGAGAAATGCAGAAAAGAGAAAATATGTATCGAAAAATACATATAATGAAATAATATTACAGAAAAATTGTCATAATCTCGTGATTAATATTATAAGTAGTTAATAATGCGAGTATCAGATCAAAATCCTATTAATTATATTTATTCAATGTAAAAAAAAAAAAAAAAAATTATCGCCTGTTGTAATTGAATAAAAAAATTTCTCTTTAAATTTATAGGCAATAGTTGAGAATCAGTAAGTTTTGTCTTATGTGAGAAACGTTCTAGTATTTTCGGAAATCTAGGATCGTAGTGATTTTGAAATCGACCGCCATCTTGAAGCAGCAAAAGGAGACCTATTCCTTAAAAACAAAATATTGAAGAAGAGTTTATGGACTCTCCATTCCATTAACTACTACTAGGCCACCAGCTGCCTCCTATATGATCCAGGGAGGGGGGCTCCAGGCCCTATATACCTCCACACCATTGGTCCTTTTTTTTTTTTTTTTTTCTTCCTCCCCTTCATTTTTGTTCTAGGGGTGTTTTCTCTACCTCCCAGATTTTTTGTTCCCAGCAGCTGGTGGTCGCTAGGAAACGAAATGAAATTTCCTACAAAACTAAACTATTTGAAAACAGATTCTCTGAGTTTTGCTTTAATGTATGAATCAATTCAAAATTTTTGCCACATTTATGTTACAAGACAATACAAGGTCAAATCACAAATAAAAACAGTTAAATAATCTTTTCTCATGTATTCTCCTTTTAGACGGATAATTCTCATTAATTCTTTAGGTAAAATTTATTCCTGATTTTTTTTTTTTTTTTCCTACTCCAACTATATAACAGGGTACCCCAATTTAAGTAAAACTTGCTCGTTTAATAAGATTTAAGTCCTTATTAATTAAGTTTAGGTTTATTAAGGAAAAACATGAGATTCACCTCAAGCTTTGTAAAAAAAAATTATGCGATTTCATATCTTTCACCTCAAAGTACACGTGTTTTCAGCTAAAATGACTACAATAAATTATTGCAAAGCTTTGATTTATTTTACCTTTGATGACCTGGGATATTCAATATTTATATTAACTCATAAACACACATTTTATTTACAAAAAAAAAAAAAAAAAAAAATTAATACTTAATAGTGTAACATCCCTCTTATATTTGACAAATAATAATAATTTAACCTCGAACAATAACTTTCTACCATTGCGATACCTCCTAAATAAATAAGAGGTTATCAAATAATAAACAAAATTATAAGAGTAATGATATATTTATTTATCTCAGGTGTGGATTTCTGACAATCAGATCAAAACACTCAGACAAACTAAATTTAACTATAATAAACACTGTTTGATTTTAGAATAAAGTCAAATATTAATTGGCAAGATAACCATTTTTCTATATTATATATTTCTTCATTTGTGAAACTGAACTCATTTGTCCTCAAACATTTTCCTAAGTTCTGCCAAACACATCTTCCAAAATGGTAATACTATTACTGAGTTTCCCCACTGGAACCAGGATTCTTTCTCCTATCCTCTCTTCACTCTACAGTCACACAACAACTACTCTTGCCAAAACAAAACCCTTTGTCCCTCTCATCTTTGGGATTTTCCTTCTTGGGAAACTACAGAGCAGCCATTTTCTTTTCCCTGCACTGATAGAACTAGATTAGCTTGCCTTTTAATTGTTCTAATTAATTTATTAAACCCTTTTTACTCACTTCGATTAAAGGTGTACATTACAATAGTTTGTATTTAAGAGGAAACCATTTATTTATTTATTGGTTTTCCAAATACTAGACTTCAATTGATTCCACCCAGTTGGCTGTCCATCTAAGAATCCAGTTGTCCTGGCGTCTTCAATTTTCTAAAATTATTCATGGCCGCCACCCCAGACCATCTCCTTCCTATAAAAAAAATAATGATTTTTCAATTATTTATTTTATTGGGTGATGATGAAATTTTTTTTTTTTTACTGTGATCTCAATTACAGGAATTGATTTATATTTAAAAGTTTCTAGCCCTAAAATTTACATTTAAAACAAAGAAACTTAATGATTACTTCAATTATTTTCTTGAAAATGTTAATATTAGAAACCAGGTACATTTAGTTTGTAACTAATAAAAACGGATCAATTTCTATTTTAGAGACCTGGTTGAAAAACAGCTTCATTTTATTGTACCATTATTGTAAACAAAAAGTTAATATTGTTTAGTACAAGTTTTATAACTTTTCAATGGTTATATTATTATCTTTCCTTTTAGAACTAGATTTATGAAATATTTAAAAATATATTTTTACAGTAAGATATAAATACCACAGTATGTTTTTACTCTCTAAAGCAATATCCATTCAATATATTTATTTTTAATTAAATAGAAGCATTCAAATTAATTTTATTAGAGTATATATTTTATATTAATCATAACTGTTCGATATATTTTTTTAAATATTACCACTGATTTACCATTTTGTTTTTTATTTCCAGGTAACAGCAGAGGATGACCTACCCCTAGTTATTTGTGAAACTTGTGTCGAGAAATTGATTATGTTTTATGAATTCAGGACGTCCGCAATCAGTTCAGATAGAGCCTTAAGACAGTTCCTCCTCTCACCACAAGTTATCCCACAAGATGCAGATGTAAGCAGTATTTATATTTAGTTATTTTTTTTTTTTTTAATATAAAAACTCACTATGTATAGCATAATATTGTTGATGTTTTAGATTCAATAATACGTCTTCTTCTCCCTCTTCCTCCTTTGTGTCTTTCAGCATAGAGGAGCCTCCAGCCACTTCAACCACTCCTTTCAGTCGTTTGCAGGTACCTTCATCTCAGCTAGGTTTTATTTTTTGACCTTACCATTTAGTCCGGGAGCCCGTGGCAAAAAATGTGACTATCATACTAAGGTTTCTCCTTATAAATTGACCATTTCCATAGGCCTGATGAAAAAAATGCACATCTGCCAGTATATAGAATAAAAAATGGTGGCCAGGTAAAGATAGATAGAGACCCTATTTAGCTTGAAAACTTATATATAGAGAAAGCATATAGATATAGAAAGCTACCAATCCTTTTAATTTATAGTATTTTCTCTCTTAATACATGAAATAATTGTCAGTTTACCCCATGCCTGTGGATTTCAAGTTGAAAATTTGAATTTACTATTCAAAAAGTTCACTTTTATCAATGAAACTATTTGTTCGCTGATCACTAAAAAAATCAATATAACCATTTCTGTTGGAAATATTGTCAGCTTTAATTTTATATAGAACATTGTTATCACTAGAACTCATAGTTTCACTGATATAAGTGAAAAACTGAAAAAATGTGAACTTTTTGAATCATAAACTTGACTTGAAATGCACTGGTACGGGGTAACTGACTATTATTTCATGTCTTAAGAGACCAAATACTATATATTTAAATGATCAGTAGCTTTCTATATCTAGAGGATTTCTCTCTGTATATATTTTTCTTTTTCTATTTTCAAAATGCATTGCGACCAAGAAGGCATATTATACACCAGCTATAACTATATTTACCTCTCCATTTTTTATTCACTGTGGGCTGATTTAGGTAATCTTAATGGGACAAAAGTAGAAATATCAATAGTGAATATTTTTGAGGAAAATGACGTAAAATGTCTGTTTATCCGTCGGTGTAGTTAGGTTAGGAAAAGGAGAATTAGTCAAAGCAAAAACAAAAAATATAAAAAACATGATTAGAAACATTAAAAGTAGATCGCCAATTAACCAGTCATATGTAAATATTGTGCTTAATCTGTTATATCATTTAATTTTTCCAAATTTGAATACTATTCCCAAGGTATGTACTTAATAATATTAATGTCAATGGAATGAAAGTTTCTCATTTTTTAAAAATTAAATATTCTACTCTTAAAAGTTAATGGTGAAAAATATTGAATATGTTATTTCAAAATGCTGTAACTTACGAGGAAGATTGTAGTTTAAATATTTAATACTTTTGGACCCTGGTTTTTGTGGCTTAAGAAATTATTTAATTTTAAATATTTCAATTCCATTAATTGTGGTGATAAGAAGCACCCATTTTGATCATTTAAACAATGCAAATACAACACTAAGGAACACAAAAGATTTTAAAACGAGTTTACATAAGTTTTTAATTAACTTATACAATATCAAAATGCATCAGAATATTTAAAAAAAAAGAAACGAATCAAAATTTGGATTTGTTTCTCAAAATGGTGCACAGACCAGTTGTAATTACATTATATTACAGCCAAATGTGAAAATTGGTTATCAGGACACATATAGAGATTTAAACTGTTGATTTGCATGTTTTTAAGTTTAGGCTGAAAGGATTTTTCATAGCATGGTCTTAAAGCTGCACAGTGAAAATTAGATGCAGCAGCTATTTTCGAATTTTGAATTTTGCTATGCAACAGAGTAAAAATTGTTAAAGTCAGTTCTTTATTTAGAAGTATCATAACCTAGGCACAGCTAATTTACAATCTACGCAAAAAAGCTTCTGCTTTATTACGTGTTAATAGTTTATACTTATAAATTATATACTTTAAGATATTTAAAGTGGCGTGCAAAAAACTTTTGTTTTACAAAATTAATTTTTTGTATGTATACTTGTTTATCTAAAGAAGAAAAACTGATCAAAATTAATTTAAAATAGAAGTCATCGGAAAGATGAAATATGTGAAATTTTGATTGAATAATGTTTATTATCTTTATTATAATAAATTATTTCACAAACATTTCGCGGTTTTTCATATACATGCCTGTTATGAATTTAGTCCTGCTAGGTTGCTAAAACAGCCCACTGTGCAACGGCTATATGCTGGCAGACGTGCATTTTTCTCATCAGGCCTTATTGGACATGTTTAATTTATAATGATAAACCTTAGTAAGAAATAAGTCACCTTTTTTGCCATGAGCTACCAAACTATTGGATATGTTCCAAAGAGGTTCTTCTAGGCCTATCTTGTGGTTTTCTTTCTCTTTTACACTTCCTTGGTACTCAGTCTTCTCCTATTCTACAGATGTTCTCGACCATCTAAGTTGTCAATATTCCATTTTTCAGTACTTGTTTTTGTTCCATTAACAAGGGAACCCGGATGCTTCTCTTACTTCCCCATTTTTTTATTGTTTCTTCTGGTTTTATTTAAGGGAAAAGCACCAATAGCTGACAGTGTACCAATAGCTGACATGATCCTCCTTGAAAAATGGGAGTAATAACATTTCAGAAGCTCCTAGACCTCTATTTTATATATTTTTAGTTTTTATATTTTCTCCTTGTATATTTGTCTGCTTTGCTTTAGACTTGCCGGAAATCTCAACCTAAATAATGTGTGGCCAATTAGGAAGGTCCATCACGGTTCACTTATTGTCCCAGGAACGACCATTTGTTCGTAAGAGCAGCATACCTTAGAGGAGTGCCTTTTTACTTTCACTTATGTATATATGTAATATATAATAAGGGTAAGTATTGCAATCGTGAAAATTTTCGGATCTCAGTTTTCAACGGAAATACATGGTTCGAGATCCCCTGAGTTCAAATAACCAAGTGTCGCAAAATGGTCTGTGTGTGTGTGTGTGTGTGTGTTGTGTTAACAGTCTAGCTCACAAACGAAAAGTAGTACGAAACTGATATTAAGTATTTAAGGTTTGTATATGGGCCGGATGTGACAGCAAGTTTTTCGTTAAAATCGACTAACCGGATGTGCCACTTTATATAAACGCTGAAACACATTTTTACAATTTTCTCAAAAACGACCCTAACAGTTTTGATCAAACTCGGTGTATCATTGTATAATTAAGTGGTCTTTAATATCATTTTGGTCTTATCCCCGTTGATGTCACTTTACAGGGCTTAAATGCCCAATGTTCATATATGTCTTCCTCTAAAGTAATGGTTTATTTTAAATAGTTAACCATTTCGCATTATTCAGAGTTACGAAAAAATGCTACATATAACTTTTGAAAGAATTTTATAAGTTAATAAAGGAGAAAAAAAAAATTAAAATGCAGAAAAACCTGTGTTCCTACAGATTGTAGCGCCTAAACGAATGTACCAATTTCAATGAAACTTCGCTGAAGTCATTTTCTCGATACCCTTTAAATTTATCTATATAACATACTTCAACGAAAAGAAGCTGGAAAAAAGTTACAAGGGATGTTAAAATTAAATTCTGAATAACTCAAAAAGTATAAGCTTTTTTGTTGATATTGTATATGATTTTTTAAAAGTTGATGGAATTTCCTAAAAAAACAAAAAAAAAAAATCGTTAAAATCGGACAATTAAGAGGAAAGATATGGTCTCAAGTTTTTTTCCCTGAAGAGGTGAAAATTTGGATAAATTTAAAATATAATTTTTTAATTGTTGAGACTAAAAAAACCTTTTTCTACAGATATTTAATAAAGTGTTTTTCCTAAGAACATCTTTCATAAGAAAGTAGTACCTAAATTTATACTTTTATTCTCAGTTCTATATTTCAACACTGCAATCACCACCGCTGAAATCAACTTACTCATTGTTTGCAGAGATAACTTTTTCAACTAAAAATAACACTAAAATGACATCACTCAAAAATGTTGAAATTGGAGTTAGTCATTCTGTAGTTTATAAAAGCAAAGAAAGTTGCGTGTGGTTTATAAAAGCAGATAGAGTGAATAGATTTTTATTGCCTGTCGTCGATATATTAAATAGACATTTTGTAATTATAATGGTCTTAATGACTTGCTATCTGTAAGCTTTAAGCTTTAGCTCCGTTTAAAATGCACTTCAAATAATTTTATAATAGTCCAGCATTGCCAGAAGATAATTTCTATTCAAAGTAGATCGGTAAGTGAAAGTTGTGTGTTGCGCGCACCAGATTTTTCTCTTTAACTACACTGATTTATTCCAAAATCTTTGTTTGATTGTTTTTAAATTCTTTTAAATCTATCTTTTTTTAACTCATCTTGATAAAGGAATTTGATATTTAATGGGTGTCAGCTAATGAAATGAAAATGAAAGGGCCTTTCATCAATAGCTAGCAGGCTTGTGTTCTCATAAATTCAAAGAAATATATTCAATATAATGGGTCTTATAAATGAAACCGTTTACTTTAGTCTCCTTAAAAAAAAAAAAAAATTACTAATGATTTGGATTAAATATAAATCAAAAATAGGTTTATATATTGCCAAAAATATGAATGATTCATATTCATTCATTGATAAATTTAAGTCTGGAAACACAGGAAGTTAGTTTTATAATAAGCTAAAGGTAATTTTTTAAATCTTAAAATGTATGAAATTTGCTTAATTATATCGTTGTTCTCAATCCTGTTAGCTATAGGAACATTCCAAATCAAACTATGTGTTAGCTACTTGTACAACAAAACTATTCTCTTAATTTTCAATTTTTTATAAATTTAGACAAAGCATAATTTAGCATTTGAAATATGTCTCGTTGAGGTGAGAAATAGTTCTATAAGATGAATCCATGAAAAATATAATAACATCAATATTTACTTATCTTCTTATTTTTCTTTTTTTATTAGGAAGCTTACGTTTATAATTTTTTCACATTTTAGGCAATAAAACTTCCAATTTTCTTCATATTTTTTTATTTATGCTTGTTGTCTCTTAAGTTTCGGGACAATTTTCCCATCATCAGAGTAATATTTTTATTTTTACTTTATGAAATCCGTCAACCTTTTTTACAAAATGATATATTCAATATTTTATATTTTAGTTATTCATATTTTATTGTTAGTTATGTTACATTCCGAGAGATGTGAGATTAGAATAACGAGAAGGTTTTCTTTCCCTTGAATGTTATCTAGACGAACCCCGCACATCAGATACAAAATATAGATATCATTTTGTAAAAAAGGTTGACGGATTTCATAAAGTAAAAATAAAAATATTACTCTGATGATGGGAAAATTGTCCAGAAACGTAAGAGACAACAAGCATAAATAAAAAAACATGAAGAAAATTGGAAGTTTTATTGCCTAAAATATGAAAAAAATCAATATTTACGTTTTTACACGTAATATTAAAAAAAAAATCTTTAAACATGTCAGCTATTGGTGCATTTATTCCAATATTCTTCATAAAAATTTACATCTATGAAGGCATATGTATTTTTTTTAAATATATCTTCTTACTCTTAAAATGAATGATTTAATATATTATTGGTATATTGAAAACAGTTTATAAGTTGATTTTATTTTATTCTATTTTTTTTTTTTTGTTTAACTTTTAAGTACACCTTGATGATTTTTGATTAACTTTTAAGTACACATTGATGATTTTTGATCATATTTATTGATGCAAAAAACTGCACCAAAATAACACAATCCCTATTATAAGTGTGAGAGAGAAGATTCATTAGGTTATTTTGTGATTTAACTTTCTAAAATATTATTTAATGACAATAATTACTTAATAACTGCAATTAATCAACAATATAAATAAATATCTCTCATGCTGGGTCAATATAATATAGATTACTTATTTGTATAGATAAAATTTATTTATTAATACTTAATAGCAATTAATACTTATGTATAAATAAAAAAATGATGTTATTATTAATTAAGCATCCTAAATAGAATTGACCATTCTATATAATAGTTAAATTTTTTTTTATATAATACGACAAAACAATTATTGAAATAAAAAAAATAATAACTGTTCTACTGAAAATTAAATTCATTGTCTATAAGAATAGTCCTCCAAAATTCTAATCTACAACAAATATAATATAATATAATATAAACAAAACATACAAACTTATTTGTAGTGAATAATAATTGGCAATTGGTTGACTGTCGTGGATAATGAAGAGAAGAATAGTTGGGGTGCTCAGTCAAAAAAGGAAGGCAAAAAATAAATTATAATATTTACAATAAATATTATAATTTATTTTTTGCCTTCCTTTTTTGACTGAGCACCCCAACTATTCTTCTCTTCATTATTTTTAGTGAATTAGTGTAAAACTTATTTAAATTATATGCATATCAATCTATGTCTCATAAGACTTATTTGAGCATTTTAGATTAAATATTTCAAACATTTTACAATAAGTTCCAAAATAATATTTTGATTTTTTAAAACAATCATTGTATGCAAAACCTAAAGTTCTTTTGTATATTTAATGTTCTCTTTGTTTGAGAAAAATATTTCTGATTCTCTTCTGGATCATATTGGTTATTTTCTAATTTATGGTGTTTTCCTATATATTTGTTTATAATATATTTTATTTTTGTTTATTTGTACAGGATATATTGAAACAAATACATTACTCTACCCTCGATAAAGGAACTGTCGTCGAAGAGATGGTAGTAGGGAAAGAGGAAACTGTCATGGGAGGTGGGTCTGATTCTGAAGAAAGCTTGGTCATCAAGACTGAAAATGACGATTCTCCGTCCCGTGTACACCAAGAATTCATCAGTAATGTAGTCGAAATAAACTCTAACAGAGTGTAAGTTGTAGTAATTGCATTATAAATCACCTCCAATATCGCTTGCATGGAGAGCTTTACTTAGATTAATTATTCAAGTTTTTTAATGCGATTGCTTGCTAATTATGAAAGTTAGTGAACTTATGAAAAATTTATCATAAGTTTCATTTAAATGCTTATTGTTTGTTTTCTTATTAATATGGATGTATGCATTATATCTAAATTGAATTGCGGATGATTTTTCATTGCTTAAACTTACATTTTTGCTAAATGTATGATCAGTCTAAATGATAACGATTTAAGAAAAGAGCATAAAAAGGATTACGTTTTTCTTACAGGACTATTATCCTAAGTATCACATGTTATGATTTTTTCCCCTTAAATTCCTTCTCATTTTTTCTTCTTTTTCTTTCCTGTTCCTAAATTTCATAATATAATGCTCCGAATTATTATTGGTGGTGATGTAGGATTCGCAGCGAGTCCAAGATAATAGTTTCCACCATATTCTGTAGCTTATACCAATACCCAGATTTTACAAAAAATTACTAGTTAAAAGGTATTGAAAACTAAGAATAATATATTGTCTTTTCTCTGTTTACTTCATAGAAAACAAATATATTTATGTTAACCTTCTCTTCAGCTCTGTTTAGCCTGAGATGTTTAGGTAGATTCAATGTGGAACTATAATATTAATCCTTAAAATGATCATTGGCCTTTAAATAGTTTTAATAAGTTAAAATCACAAACATTAAACAAACATTTAGCAATTGAAATTTAATAAATGCATATTATGACTTGCAGCTTTCTGTAAAATTACAATTTTTTAAATCACTTTTCCTTTCTTTAATTTTTTGGAAGATGTGTTATGTTCAATGGTAATTTAAAAACCAACATAACAAGAATATATTTGGCACTTGTGAATATTTATTTTTTTCTGGATTTTGATTTGTTGTGTGTTTTGAAATTGTTTTTCTTTATCTTTGTGGCTAAAATTTATTTTATACTTATAATATCCATATCACTTTAAAGCAGACCTTGAAATGGAAAAAATGCTTTTATCACTATCATTGGAATTTTCATTGTCAATAGTTTTTCAGTTCTTTTGGAACTAAAAATTTTGACCTGGATCTTTATTACAAAAAAGTTCCTTAGAACTTTTTCCCCAAAAAAGTTTCATAGAAACTGTTGAATTGAAATTTTAAAAAAAGTTCCATGTAAGTTTCAATTCCTGCATAAAAGAAAGAGAGAAACAATATTGATTTTAAAGATACAACTTGGAATCAACAAGATTGCACATAATGCAAAAATTATACCTATTACCACAAAAATAGTTTTAGTATTATATCCGTTAAAATTAGTTCTTTATCATCTGTATGCTATCCTATATGTGTATAGTAAAGTATTTATAGTAGTTTAATGAGAACATTTTTATCAAAACAAAATTTTTTTTTTTTTTTTTTAGTTATGTAATTGAAGCTGTCTTTATCCTATTTAATTGTTTTGCCCCAAGTTATTCTATCCGCAGCATATGCTATGGTTATTCCTCCTTTCACTTTCATATGCTTTTGAAGGGTCCATGAAATCTTCCATGCTGAAGATAGAGTTGGTTGATATACAACCAATCCTTTTAAGCCTCTCCAAAAATGACAAAAGTTATTGAACTCAAGTCCTGATATTTCCTGTAAACTTTCATTGCTGTAAGAATATGGCTCAGGATTTTTCTCTTAAAGCGTTATTTTCAACATTTTTTTCCCCTCCCACTTCTCTGCCTTTTTAGCTAAATTGGATTTTTCCCAGGCTAGGGGAGATGGTGAGGAATTAATGCCAAAATTAAAAGCCCCCTTAGCATCGGGATGCGAACTCGTAATTATTTTGTCATGTTATCTTCAGTTTATCAGGCTGTTAGGCAAACTGGGCCTCCCCCCTCACTCCCCCTCTGCTGCTCTAAATATTGAGCATACATGTTTCACAAGCTTAAAGTAAAAATGAAAAGATTAGCTGTAGCAAATATAAAAAGAATAGAATAGCAAAATCGAATATTTAATAGTTGATCGTTGTATTATAGAGGAACGAGATGGTCATAACTAAACTAAAATAGTTTATTAAAAGCCCAACGTTTCGACCAGACTTTTTAAGTCTTCTTCAAGGGCTAGAACGGACAAGATACACAAAGGATATAGAGAACTGTGGAAGTTACATAATATTTAGATAAAATTATAAACAAGGTGAATAAACTTATTGAAATTATAAGCAGTAAGTACATTGAAATATTAAGAATAATAAGCTATATAAACAGGATTAGGATCTTATTACTTGGCTTACTCTGTTTATATAGTTTATTGTTCTTAATATTTCAATGTACTTAATTTTTATAATTTCAATAAGTTTATTCACATTTTTTATAATTTTTATCTAAATATTATGTAACTTCCACCATTCTTTATATCCTTTGTGTATATCTTGTCTGTTCTAGCCCTTGAAAAAGACTTGCAAAATTCGGATCGATTCGGTATGTTATAAAATATTTACTTTAATCTTAACCAGTCGAATCATGGAATACGCCGAGGAAATTATCGGAGACTACCAATGCGGATTTAGACGGAATCGTTCGACTATTGATCAAATATTTTCTTTACGGCAAATATTAGAGAAAAAATTGGAGTACAAAGGTATTGTTCACCAGCTGTATATAAATTTTAAAAAGGCTTACGATTCTATTGACCGCCAGAAACTATAATATTCTAATCGAGCAGGGGATTCCTAAAAAATTAGTAAATCTAGTCAGGATGTGCTTGACGGAGACACTCAATAAAGTTAGAATCGGTAATAATCTGTCCGATAAATTTGAGGTTCGTTCGGGTTTAAAACAGGGGGATTCCCTTTCGCCTGTCCTGTTCAATTTGGCATTAGAACATGCCATTAGGGAGGTAATGCGTACCGAGAAAGAGTTGGATCTGGGTGGGACAACATCCGTGCTGGGTTATGCGGATGATCTGGTACTGTTAAGCGAAGACCTTGAAACTATAAAACTAAATACGACAACGTTAATGAAAGCCGGTAAAGAACTAGGACTCGAAATAAACGTGGATAAAACAAAATATATGGTTAGCTGCAAAAATGGCAATACTACTGGTGATATCGATATAGATGGTAATATGTTTCAACAGGTAGATAAGTTTAGGTATCTAGGTTCTACGATAACTAGAAAAAACGAAATTGAAGAAGAAATTAAGGTTAGACTGAAGGCGGGAAATGCTTGCTTTTTTTCTGTGACAAAACTACTCAGTTCGCGCCTCTTGTCCCGGAACTTAAAAATTAGAATCTATAAAACAATTATCTTGCCTACAGTTCTTTATGGGTGCGAAACTTGGCCGCTTACATTAAGGGATGAGCAGCGTCTTAAGGTTTTTGAAAATAAAGTATTGCGTAGAATATTCGGACCAAAGAAGGATGAGTTAACCGGAGAGTTCAGACGGTTACACAACGCCGAATTGCGTGAACTGTATCCGGGTAATATAATTGAGGTAATTTCATCACGGCGAATCAAATGGGCTTGTAAAGTTGTTGGACTTAGTTACTAGAGAATTCCTAAAAGGTTAATATTTGCTGTGCCGAATGGTAAGCGTCCGAGGGGTAGACCGAGGCGAAGGTGGGAAGATTGCATTAAAGCCGATCTGAAGGGACTGGGTTTGGACGGTGAACGATGGAGGGAGGTATGCAATAAGTGATTGGTGGTGTCGGCATTGAACCTTCGGGTTCGCTAAGCCTTTTTATTATTATTATTATGCCATTAATTTAATTTAGAATATAAATATTTTCCAAATTTGCTGAACATTTACATTTATCATACATTACTTTGTCCTCTTAATTGATTGATTCCTCATGTTCTGGTTTAGTTTCTGTCTTATCATTATTTTCAGTATATTTATTTGCATCATATATTATCATAATAAAATTAAATATTAAAGATATATTTAGAATCTTTTTTAATGATAAAAATGTTCTTAAAGCATATTATTTTTTATGTGCTTCACTGTCTAGCTTCATTAACGACCAAGATTGCGCACTAGCCAACACCTGCTGTTTAATAAGACCTCCCACACAGTAGTTATTGCCTAGGAGCTCGGGGCTTGGAGTTGGGAAGGAGTTGTTTGTGTTACTGTATGTTTTGTGTATTAATCGTATGTTCTATTCTTGATGTTATGCTAGGGGTGAAGCGAAGAGCCTTCTTCGCACCTTGATGTCGGCTAACGCAAATTCTAATTTAGATGGCCCCTCTGTGATCCTGATGCGTGAAGAAGTTCTGTGGCCACCGAATACCACCGAAGTTCTTGCAAATAGAACAAATATTCAACAGCAACCGAAACATCAAGTGATGGTAAGTAAAAATATTTTATAAAAAAATTAAGAACATGATCCTTTTACTTTTTTTAGTGTTAATGATATACAGCAAATATAGTTGGTTTATTGTAAAATAAATAATCTTTCATAAAAATAAATAAGTAATAACCAAGTACTTAAATAAGTATACCATTTGTAAAACTGGAATAATGTGCACTTAATCTGACTATTATAATTGGCTTTGTGTCATTTTGAAGCACTTATTGCGATCGATATTCACAACTAATTAGCTTAGCTCCATCGAAAATGTACTTAATGATTTTTTAGAATTAAACAGATAATATAGTTTAGCTATCCTCAATTGTAGACAGTAGGAGGAACTATTATATTGTGTAGGGGAGTGTCTGGAATTTGGTATTTTATTTAACTGCGACGAAATAAATTATTTGTATTTTCTATTCAGTATAATAGATTTTATCAGTTATTTTGGCTTTATTGCTATAAATAAACATAAAATTTGGTCTTTTATAATCATGGATAGCTTATTTATGTACAGCAATCCCTAAACATTTGCTGGTTTGACAAGTTTGGCTTAGGTTCTACTAAAAAAAAATACAAAAAAATTCTACAAAACAAAAAATCACAAGATTTGAATGATCCCAAACGTAGTTTGTTTTAATTATACATAATTACTCGTTAGGTATATTTTCATTCATAAAATGTTTGTTGTTAACAGAAAGCAACATTATCATCTGTTAAAACAAAACTAATTTAATGGGAAATATAACACAAGTAAAGTTTACAAAATTAGAAACATTTAGGCGCCTTTCTGAGAGATTTGTAAAATCATTTCAAGGAAGGTCCATGTCTAATTGTATATAGCTGCTTAATATTTTATCATTATTGCGTTTTTTTTTTCATGATTTTGTCACGTAATATTGTTGTTTTTATTTTCTTAGTATTATATTTTATTTTCTTATTATTGTTCATGGGAGCAGGGTAGCTCAGTGGTAGGGCACTGAGCTTCCAATGCAAAGGTCTCGAGTTCGAACCCCGGCTCATGGCAGAAAATTTATTTATCTGTTTCATTGGCCGTGGGGCGACCTTGGGTCAGAAGTCCCTCCTGAGGCACACCCAGCCTCTATAAAGTGGGTACCCTTAATTAAATAATTGATTAAGGGGGAAAACCTGGCGGTTGAGCGTGATCTCGGTCAAATCACCTCCTTGCACAACCGTTGACCTAGAAACAGTGCTTTTCCTAAATAGTACTGAACCCCAGATCCTTCATGGGTTGTAGTGGTACAGGTTTTTTTTTTATTATTGTTCATATATTTCAGTGTTTTATAAGTTCATGTCTTACTTAAAACTGTCAAGTCATTTGGTGATTGTCAACTGATTGAAAGATAGAATTGATATTTGAAAAAAAAAAAAAAAAAAAGGAAATAATTGTGACATTTTATTATTTTTTAAAGAAAACTTTAAAAGATTTATTATTTTATATTAATTTATAATTTTATGTTTATTACGACTAGCAACACAACGGGGAAAGTGGTGACGAGAGCCGAGGAGGAAGTGGTGGAGGTAGAAGGAAGCAGAGTTGCCCATTGAAGAGTGGTATTGACTCCAAAAAACCAGGCTACAGGTCAGCTGAGGCCATCAGCCGGCTCCTCGAGGCTGCCCACTACACAGCGGGCACTGGTTGTGCTAATAGCGGAGGCGGCGGCAACGAGAGTGGGAACAGCGGAGGTGAAAGCCCCGGCGATGACAGCTCCTCCAATTGGAGTAATGAATCCGTCACAAAGACCACCAGAGTTGTAAGTGCAAAATATAAAAATAAATTATCTATGATTTTCACCTTTCATAAAAGAAACGAAAAGACAAGAAAATAGTATTTTTTTTTTTAATTTAATAACACTTGATTTTATAATAGGACCTTTTCTTTTTTTTTTTTTTTTTAGTATCCTAAAAAGACATAAGGCAATAAAACTTTTTACTAACATGAACAAACTTAATAAAGTTAAACAATGTTTTTATTTATTTGTAATGTTTTTGGCAATTTTCTAACAAAGCATCTTTATATACCGTTTACCATTCTGATATAAAATAAAAATGGATAAAATATCATATAACTTCATATTAAAGAAATTAAAATGTTTTCCTTCTTAATACCTCAAATAATTTTGTTTTGTATGTTGAAGTGCTAGTTTTTTCCCTTTAAATTCATGAGATTAATTATAAATAAATGGTTTCTTCCTTTAACTGGGAGGTACAGATTATTTTTGATTTTTTCCAACCAAACTAGATTGGTTCATGAAAAGATTCTTATTAATGAATCTTTTTCTTCTGGCACTTCAGGCCTAAGTGGTCCTTGGTCTGCTTCAACGTCTGCGGCCGCAGGGCTCTGTCCTTCATCAAACAGATGCCTACCTGATTATTAATGAATACATGTTATAAAGAATCTAATTCTCTGAGTGTTTCTGGCTCTTCCTCTTGACTGTCTCCCTTCAATTCTCATTTCGTACGTAGTCCTCGCAATTCTTTCCTCCTGCATTCTCTAACGTGACCGAACACCATAGCTGGTTCTCTTTCAATTGGTGTGACTTGTTTAATTTCCAGAATACTTCTAATCGTTTGTATTTCTGATCCTATCCCTTCTTGTTTTCTTTCTAACCTCCTCAGGTACCTCTTCTTGTATTTGGCTCCTACGTCAGAGCCTTAAGACTCACTGGCGTAGGTCGCTTGAGGTTTGAATGTTTATCTTATATACCACTCTGTTAACCTTTTTAGAAACCTCATTCTTTCCGAGGAAATCAGACTTGAGTGAATGGAAGCATTTTCTGGTAAATTTAATTTTATCTCTAATTTCTCCGTCTATCTAAAATTTTTCATTGAGATGAATCCCCAAATACCTGAAGACTCTTACTTGTTCCAACTCTTCTCCCTTTAGCCAAAGTATTAAGTCTCCACGTTCTTCCTCCCTTCCTATCCCCATTACTTTTGTTTTGCTGGTATTAGTGAAGTTGCAAATATAACAATTTTTTTTTAGGTTTCTAAAAGGGTTGACCTAGCTTGTACTAACTGCGGCACGAGAACAACCACCATCTGGAGGAGAAACCCTACCGGAGAGATGGTCTGCAACGCCTGTGGCCTGTACTATAAATTACACAATATCAATCGACCTGCAAATATGAGGCGTGACACAATCCACACACGACGGCGAAGACCAAAATCAGCTTCTGCAGCACTTAATTCAATCATCAAACAAGAAGCTGCCAGCAGTTAGTATGGATTGTAGCATTTTAAAATTTCATTTCGCTTGCCATACCATGCTGCTTGCTCCTTTTTTTTTTCATATGGACATCTCTGGATCTGCTTGATGTTTTCTTTTAATAAATAACTTATTTTATATGAAATGTATTATTTATTATTTTAGTTAATAGTAGTAAGCAATTTTCATATAAAAAGATATTTATAATTGTATAAATTGATATTTAGCTTTAAATATCTTCTTATTGAAAAAGAAAAATAGCTTATTAAGTCTATGCTAAAAATGCATGTCTTTGCCTAGCTTATATTTTATTTTATATGACACTAATTTTCTTTAATGATTGCTTGGCTTTTTTTGCGATATTTTAACTTATTGCTAAAGCTTGTAAATATTTTCTACCTTTCTTATTAATTCAATATATTATTTTTAAATATTCAACTAATAATAAACAACTGGTAATCAACTGTTTCATCTGTAAATTGTTTTTTTTATAAGATTTTAGTCTCACTATTTCTTTATGGTTTAATATATTGTTAATTGTATTATAACTTAAAATCGGTTAATGAGTTGTCATTTGAACTTCACTAGTGCTACTCTTTTGGCTTTCTGATAGGCTGATTGATAGGCACTATTATTTCTTTTTATAGTCAGTATAGTTTTTATAGATTAGTGACATTATTAACTATAACAATTGTGGTTACTGTTATTAAGCTTAATTATAATTTTTTTTCTAATTATGATAAATACTCTAGAATGCTCCTTACTTGTTATGAACATAAAATGAATCCTTAGCAATCATTACATCTTGTAGGTTCAATTCATTTTTGTCTTTATTCGTGTGATTATATTATTCTCACAGGAATATAGTCTTCTCATAATGGTGTTACTTGTTGCTGGAATAGCTTAGAAATAGGAGTATCACAATTGTTATCCGACCTCTTTGAAATGGATCCTCTTTGGGGGGAAGCGGAGGAGGGATATAATGTCTAAGCAAGCGTGTGGTTTATATAAAAATTTAATGTACAAATACTCTTTTTAGCATTATTATGGATTGTGGTCATTTTTATATCTTTAGGTAGAAAATTAACTCCTGCACAAGCCGGTCCAGCAAGAGGTAAAGAAAACCCCCCAAGGGGTAATAATCAGCCAAATCGTAACAGGTAACATTTGTGTTTATTTTATGTTAAATAAAACAATCCCTAATCATATAAAAAATTTCACAATTTTAATAAATTTTAAAGCGATTGTATTGAATAAACGAAAAAAATCTAAAAGGTTTTAAAATTATAAGGCCGAGATAAAGAGATAACTTAATTCAATATTAATGAGAAAAGGGTTAAGAAACGCTTTTTTTTTTTGTTTTTTTTAGAAATCACATTTCAAAGGGAATGGAGCATGTTCATTATATCAATACATAACTATATTGCATGCTTATAATCATACATAATTATCTCAAGTTAATTATTTTTGCAGCAACTAACACCTATCTCAATATTAGGGTTAGGTTGTTTAGGCTTTCACATTAAATTGCCATATCTTTTTACTAAATTACTTGTTATTTTTTAAAAAATAATATGATTACTTTTATATATCAACTATATAGATTTAGTGTAGTATATAAGTGAAATATTTGAGTAATTGACAAGCTTAAAATAAGAACCAGTGTTGCCTTAATCAGAAACGGCTCCAGCCAGTGCAAGCGGCGCGGGTAGTGGAGGAGAAGACTGCTGTGATGACATGTTGGCTGCCCTCCGAAGACAGATCCAACCGTTCGTGATTCCAGGCGCCAACCAGGACAAACCACTCAACTTAGTATCGCATTAGCTGACATCCGTCGGCAACACACACATCCAGGCTGTGCGAAATTCTTTGTTCACTATTAGCACTTTGTATCATTATATAAATAGAGGTATACTAACATTTATAAAAGAGAATGAAAAAATACAAAAAAAAAAAATGTCTGATAGCTTCATACAAGTATAGATACCCTCAACACAGTGGGCTTACTAGGCTCGGTTAAGTACTTACATATCTCTTGCTTCCTGATTTGTAACAGCAATGCTAAGATTTTAATGTTGAATTGTTTTATTTACGTGATTATTTTTTTTTAATGGAGCCCATTATTATTGTACAAATTGAGAAATTTTGTCTACAATGCATTTACTATTGCTAGGACTTAAAGATAACACAACACTAAGAAACTGTATAAAAGAAAAGCGTACGTCCAAGTGTCTGGTTGTGTTTATATTTATTTAGTTGTTAGTGACTACTAGGGCTGGACCCATTGATGAACGTACGTTCATCACCTTTTCCAATATAAAGTAATATTTTTTCACGAGATATCATTTGTAAAAATAAAGAATAAAAACAAACTAATAAAATTGAATTGTTGAAGTTTCCATTTATAAATTAATATTATTGTGTTGTTTTGTCTTTAATTTTGATTTGTAGGTTTAAGAGTAAGTTGTAACGACTTAATTTTTTATATGAATTTGACTAACTTTTATATTGTTATACGTATATGGTGTTGTTCTCATTTCTATCATAACTTTTTTTTTCTTAAATTAAGTTTATGCCAAATTGGAAGCAATTATAAATGTAGTTTGCTTTTGTTCATTTGGGATTGCTTTGCCTGTTTGTGCCCTGAAGGTTTGTTGTTGATAAGAAATGGAACAACACTTATTTTGTTTTGATTTATTTTATCATACCTCTAGGATCTGAACCGACATGTGCCTGTCTTACTAGTAGTTTTTTGATCTGTAAATATGATGTATGTATATTAAATAATTATGGGAATATAGAATCGGAAGAAGTTCAGTCGCTCATATTACACTCATCTTAATACTCATTGGCAATAATTGTTGTATTAGGCTCAGATAGGCTGATAAATTTTACATATATTTTTAATATGAATGGTTGAAAGTTGGAAAAAAAAGAAGAAAAAAAATTCAAATATTTGTGTGAAATTTTTTTAAGGATTCCAATTAATGAGGGTTTTTCCTTATTTTGTTTTTTGTATAAATTATGGAATGTCTGTTCAATTTTGCATTTGATTTTTAGCTTTTTTTTTTACTAACTCTCCTTGATACTAATTAATTAGTTATATATTATTTTTGTAAGGAGTTGCAATTTTTAAAATATTTTTGTTGGTTCTATATTTTGTTGTTGTGATCATGTGACAAATTGATATTAGGAAGATGACTGTTGTAACTGTTCCTGACTTATGATTTTTTTCTCCGGAACTTGATCTAATGCCCCTCAAATAATTGATAAAAAGATTTCTTTCACTACATCAGTATTCAGAGACATAACCGAATAGTTGCTAAGTTACGCTCCGTCTTTTTTATGATCAGTATTTATTTGTGATCTAATGTTTATCTTTATATTATTAATAGATCGTAGCGTTTTCATTTTGAATGGTGATTACTCTCTCTTCCTTTTTATTATTCTATTTATTGTATTGCTTACTTTTATTTTTAATTTACCTTTGTACATAAGAATTTGTAAATGTAAATTTTGACTGTAATTTATAGTTTAATTTGGAGTAGTTTTTCAATGATTAGTATTTTTCGTTACTGTTCCATGACATATGAATCTCAGTATTAGGCATTTTTCTATCTCTTTGGTGACTTCCCCCGAATATTATTTGTTATATTATTAACAGTCTCTGTAGAAGATATGAATCTTGATCTTCAATAATCTTGCAATTTCGTGTTCTTTTAAACACTTGAACCAACACATGAACAAAAATGTTCATTATTGTCCATAGATAGTTTTGGATTGATCTATTGAATATTGATTTGATGTCCTTTTACAGTTTTTTTCCCTCAATTAATAATATTTTCTTGCAACTCAGGTCAGCCATTTTCGACATGCCCATTTTGATTTTGGTAAATCATATTGATTTTGTATAATATTGTTATGCTCCATTCACTAAGGATTGTATTTCGTCCAGATTGTGCATGGATGGTTTATGAGGTTTATTTTCCACTGCTTGTTGTATTATGATAAAATGGGATCTTGAAAATGGCTAACCTCAGCAGGATTTCTTTCTATTTCTGTGCCATTCTTCCTCATATCTATCTCCTATATCACATGTGAAATACTCTTAGTAATTTTAGTTTGTTTTAATTTTAAGACATTTTGTATTTGTAAGGATTTTGTCCATACTCTTATTAGTTAACTTTAGTTAAATGATTTCTTTTGTTTGTCTATTTTTTATTATAAAATTGATAATTTGGTATTATATTAAGTATTAATAACTAATACTCATATTAGTTTTAGGGTTACTTTTTTTATATGTTTGATGAATTATTATGAACTTTTTTTTCAACAGTATTTATTTAGCTTTTATTTGTCAGTATTCAGTTAGCAGTCTCGTTTATGTATTATGAATGGTGAAATGTGATCTGTTACTGAATAAACAACTTTAAGAACTGATTTTATTTTGTTTTATATGTTTCCTTTCCCCATTCCATTCATTTTCAGTATATTTTTAATTCCTTTCTCTTTGTAAGCCAAATAAACTGAAGAAATGTGAAAAACATTTTTTGGATTCAATTCTAAGAGTTTTACTACTAGCGATATATTACTAATTGGTGATTAGTGGATTTTAAATATTATTTCCTGCTACCACTTGCCAACTGCTATTTAAAAAAAAAAATCTAATTTGAAAATTATTAAGTTCTTTTCTCACTTATTTAATAAACAAATTATCATCTTAGTCGTACAAGTGAAAGGCAGGTAATTTTTCTAGATGTTACTTAAGTTACATACTTTTGAATAATTGATCCATTAGTTATTTTCAAAACATTTGCTTTGTTCTATCCTAAACTATGGACCTATTTTCAATGAAACTAGGTATGTGTAGAAGTCAATCCTCTGTTATAAAATGCTAAGAACTTTAGTATTTGAATATGAATACTGAAGGTATTCAAGTACTCATGTACTGAGTACTTGAATACCTTCAGTGCTCAAACCACGTCCTGATTACCCACATGTTTGGGTTGAAACGTCGTCACCAATAAAAACTTTATAATGACTGGGTCCTGATTATTTATCACCCATGGTAATTAATTCTTTTAAATGGAGTTATACCATCATTTTCACTTTAACTTCCTGTAAGAAAATACCTATCTACATTACCTAAATTAGTTAGAAAATACCTAAGGTTGGTAAGTGAAAGTTATGTGATGCGTGGCACTGTATAAAGTTTTTTAAGCATTAGTAATTTGCTAAGAAATATAGATAACGATCTCGATTGCTTCAATTGATTAAAGACTTTCCAATAATCAAAACAAAGATTTGGTTTTTTCTTTGTACTTTTTCAGCAGAACATGTGGAAAATATTTAGAACAACATATCCATTAATTTCAAAGATACTTTTTTTTTTTTGTTTTTAGGAGATTTGGTAAACTTTTAAATTATCGAAATAAAGTGTATAGTTTTTTGTGTTATTCGGAAATCTAACTTTACCCCTTGTAATTTTTATCCAGCTTATTTTTGGTGAAGTATGTTAAGATAAGTCTAAAGGGCTTCGAAGGAGAAGACTTTAACCAAGTTTCATTGAAATCGGTACCTTTGTACACGGAAATTGCAGTATATTGCTCAAATTTTGCCTTTTTATATTTTTGGGGTTATTGAATTTGAATTCAAGCCATTTAGTTGACCAAATATATGCATTAAAAACAGAATAATGAAGTATTAATTTTTATGTTAGCTTGGTAACATTTTTTTCTGTTTAAAAGTTTAAAAATATAAAATAATTAAAAAATATATAAGTTTAAACAAAACTATTAAAGTTTCAAATATAAAAGTTGAAAAATATAAAATAATTATAATCTAATAAAATATTCTATATATACACATGGAATTTCATATAAATAATTTTCAACTCACTTTCTAGTTCACTTTTAGAACTCAAACTTTTCGTTTCCTGTGATATACTTTTATTCAGTTCCTAAACTTGATATGATGAAATCGGAATCAATTAACAAATTTTAAAAATATGTCGCTATTATCAATCATTGACTAGATAGATCTATATGAACTAGATAAGATCAACCTGTCTACTTTATATAATATGCTTACTCACTTTTTTTCTCTTTGACTATCAAAAATAAGATATTGTATTTATTCAAATGTTAGCAATATTTTGAAACGATGAAACAGTTTTATTTTAATTTTAATTCTTTAAAACAAATATTCCATGAACAAAATATTTGTTATAACTGCTCTAAATTATCACTTGATATTTATATCAGGTATTTTATGTTATTTTATTTAAAAAGTGTTTCCTGCAAAATGATGAATTCATGCAATATAAGTATTGCAAGTATAAGTCATCTAAAACAAACAAAAAATTGCGAATCAAAAACTTTCAATCTCTTTTTATGCTTCAGACATCAAGGATCAAATGTAGTTCGGCGTCTGTCTGTAGTCAAATCGGTGTAACGGGCTTATCATTTACTACCGTTTATCCAATTTTCATGAAATTTTAAGATTGTGCCGATTGGCATCTAGATAGTCTCATATCAATTTTATCGAATTCCATCCAGCACTTCCACTTGCGCACACGTAAATGTATTTTTTTAGATTAGATAAGTGTATTCCTGCGCTGTCTCCAAGGTTTCCCCTCCACAACGAACCAATACTTCCTCCTCTTCACGACCAATGTGCATCACCTAGCTCTTCCCAACATTTAATATCATGCCCTTTCTTTCTAGCTCAGCCTCTCACTCAGTAACTGCCTGCTGCAGATTTTCTTTGGAATCGGCAATGAGGACAATATTGTCTGCGAAAACCATCACTTGAGCAGGATTGTCCTCATGCTCCACCTTCCCACGACCGTCCGTGCTATCCTCCGCTTGAATATTCTCAATATTTCATCCATAAATATGAACAGGAGAGGACAGGCTGTCACCCTGTCTAACACCCTTTCTCATGGCGAAGGCATCGGAGATTCTTCTGTTAATTCTAACTTCTCCTTTGGAGTCATAATAGGTAGATTTTGTGTAATACAAATTTTTTCAACTACAAATATAAAATGACATTACTAAGAAATGTTGAATTTTGAGTTCGACATTCTGGCAAAAGAAAGGCTGAGAGACTGAAGTTGTGTGGTTTATAAAAGCAGATGGAGTAACTAGAATTTTATTGCCTTGATTGATTTGTGCATTTTATTGATTTGTAAAATACACTTAACATTTTTTATAATATATATTATATTATAATATATAATATGTGATATATAATAATTATAATAATAAATTACAATATATTATAATTAGTAGGCCCGTGCAAGCATATTGTTTTCAAATGCCAAATTAATAAAAAGGCGTTGGATGAGGGATCTCCTTCCTTAAACAACTTAAGTAATTGGAACAAGTTTGAGAAAAGGTACCTCTGAGTACTTTCCGTCCTCATGCCTGTCATGTCATTATTTCAAGTATCGCCATCACATTTGCTGATTGTCAACAATAAGTTGACAGGAGCAAATTCATTTTTTATAGACACAAAAATATTAATAAGAAAATAAAATAATGCAACGTATCAAAAGATAAAAAAATCAAATGTTACTTTATCGATAAATATAATCGACGAAGAAAAAACAAATTAATTTAAATATAGAATATTTAATGGTTGACCGTTGCATTATAAAGGAAGGAGATGGTCCGGGGTTGCGGTCTTAAATAGGCTAAATAGTGGTAAAACTATTTAGCCTTTTTATGACCGCAACCCCGGACCATCTCCTTCCTTTAATTTAAATATACATTTTTGTTTGGAACCAACATGTTTACAAATTTCAGTAAGCTGTATCTTTGCTAAAAATTGTCCGATTTCGATGATTTTTTTTTCCTTTTGTAGGGAATTTAATAATCTTTTACATAATCATGAGCATAACCAAGGGAAAAGAGTGCAATTTTTTAGTTATTCGCAAATAAATTTTGTTTTCTTTCATAACCTGTTTACCTGAATTCTCGGAGTGATTTTACTATTTTGCACGCCTGAAGGAGAAGGAAGCCTTCGAAATTGGTGGCTCAATCTTGAAGAATTAACGATGATATGGCTTGCCGATCAAAAACACCATCGATAAATAATATAAACTCCTCCTCTCTCGATGATAGAGCCCTCAAAGTCGACGAAATGAGACATGTTTTCAATGACAGTACTACAATTAATGTAAGGTTGTGTGGATGCGAACCCTATGCCTTGCGTTATCTCGAAAACCGTACGTTTTTGGGCTTAAAAACGCAGCATCAGGAACTATCCGGGTCTTGTTGTACGCATCAAAATCTTCAAGGTCCAATTTCTCCCGTATCGATCTACAGACCTACCACTGTTCC